CAGATCAGAATTTAGGCTGACTGACCCCAAAGCCAGCAAACCTAAGTCTTGGACTCCTCTCCCCATTATAACATATGCAAACTGTCTAGCCCAATGCCTACTATGGAGATAAGGCTCAATAAATATTAGAAATTGTTAATATATGATCTAATTTGCATACCCAAAAGAAACCCAAAACAATAGAGAAACAAGGACCAGGAAGACGGATTAATGGTCTAATGCAATTGTTAAAACAAGAAATGGTGAAAGTGGCAGCCACGTGGACCACTAGGAGAAGTAAGAAGCCAACCCCTTCGTGTGAGCCAGCTGCTGTGCAGGTTAGGAGACAAGAGTGGGACCCTCCACCATCACCACCAGCAACCAGCTGATCCAGAGAAACACCGGCTGGGAAGACAGCTACTGTCTTGTAGTGTTTAGTATTTGATTGACTTTGCAGGCCTAATAGTGGTGGTCTGAGCATCTATTTGGATAACAATATGCAGTGTAGCAACTATGGGGAATCTCCTTCTGAAGGTGATAGCCATTGTCAATTCCCCATTATCTTGCTTTGAAGTCCTGTATTGTTTCCACTGTTTTGTTTTACTGTTTTGTTTCATTTGATTTTATTATGTCTGATGACACGAGCAGCTATTTCAAAGATAACAAAATATATTATGGTAGCCACTGCTAGTTTCCTTTTTTTTTTTGTCTTTTTGAGACAGTTCAGGCTATGCAGTTCAGGCTGGCCTTGAGCTCACTGTGTAGCCCCAGCTGGTCTGGAACTCGCAACAATCCTCCCACCTCAGCAGGCATGAGCCACCATGCCCGGCTGGTTTCCTATTACCTTGTTCCGAAGACTTATATTGCTTTCATTGCTTTGTTTTGATTGGTTTAATTCTGTTGTTTTGTTCAATTTTATTATATCTGATGATATGGGCAGCTATTTTGAAGATAACAAGAGGCATTATGGTAGCCACTATTTCCTATTATCTTGTTTTGAAGTCCTTTATCACTTTCACTATTTTGTTTTGATTGGCTTTTTTGTTTTTTTTTTAATTAAAAAATATGATGAAGAATTTATTAAGAAACTGGCAGTTCACGTAAAGCAAAACTCAGGAACTTTTTCAAGAACATAGCAATTGCCCACTACATTGGAATATATTACAACTTGGTAACATCTACAGTGTTTTAACATAAACTACAATCATAATAGTTTTTTGTTTTGTTTTGTTTTTGAGACATGTGTGGCACAAGCTGATCTTGAGTTTACTATGTATCTCAGGCTGGTCTCCAACTCCTAGTGATCCTCCTGCCTCAGCCTCCTGAGTGCTGAGATTATAGGTATGTGCCACCCAGTCCTACCATAATAATATTCTTGATGCATCAAGAAAAGTTTATTTTCAGAATATGTGATTACTGGCCTTGTAAATTGAAACAGCAAGTTAGACTAACTCATAGGAGACATCTAAAAGTCAAATGGAAACATTTAAAATGTCTTTAAGAGTTTCATACCTATAATAGTCCTAAGAATATTATAAAATTCAAGATTCCCATTAAGCTCAATGATCTTTCAAAAGGTGGTTGGAAAAGACAATTACTTATTTTAGGAACCATTAGGTTTAAAAGTCGTTGGAATACAAGGGAAAGACAGGTATTTTTATGATTAGACTGAAGATGTAGGTAAAAAAAAAATACATTTTAAAGCTGTGGTCCTGAAGATTAGCTCCTTAAAGATATATAACATTAATATTAATCTAGACGTTAGTGTGTCCCATCAGGGTCACCAAAACAAATCTTATTATCCTCCTTAGCAAAAATTTCTGGATCACATACTAGCTCACTGGAGTAGTAATTGATAGAACTGTGGGGGACCGGCGGCGGCTGAAAAGATAAGAAGTATGAAATATAAATGACTTTTATTTTGAAATTCAGGAGAGACAGCCCCACCACCCGGGGCGGGGCGTGTCATCTCCACCCGGGTCAGGAGATCTCTCTGTGGAACACATGGAGTGAGGCACATAAGTAGCCTGGGTTTGGGGTGGAACCTAAGGGGGCATTAGGGATGTACAGGTAGCCCATTGGTCTTTGGTCCCATAGGTAAATTCCTAAGGGTGGGGGACAGAGGAGCTCTTTGGCTTTACCTGCTTACAGTGTCCGGCCTGGGCCAAAACCCTTTCAGTAATTGTATCCTTGGGTGGACAAACATCCTTAAATTCTGTGAAGATTTAGGATTAAGCACAAAGACATTTAAGAGCTATGGTTTGAATGTTTGTGTCCCTTTCAAAACTCATATTGAAAATTAATTCTCTCTCTGCCTCTTGAGAGGCAGAGCCCAAATTTAGGCTATCAAGCAATAAGGCTCTCATGGAAGGGCTCTCAAGACCTTATAAAAGGACTTGAGGGGGCTGGGGATTTAGCTCAGCGGTATAAGCGCCTGCCTTGCAAGCAGGCAGTCGTGAGTTCCATCCCTGGTACCAATTAAAAAGGAAAAAAACAAAAAATAAAAAAGGACTTGAGCCCCTTTCGCCCCTTCCCTCCCTTCAGCTATGTTCATCCCCTGTGGAGAATTTAGCAACAAGGTGCCACCTTGAGAACAAAGAAAGGCTTTCACTTGACACTGGCACTGCAGGTGTCTTTATCTTTGACTTCCCAGCATTTATAATGGTGAGAAATACATTTCTGTTCTTTATAAATTACCCATTCTCCAGTACTTTGGTATAGCTCCACAAATGGATTAAGATAAGAAAAATTTGGAATTAAGTAAAACAAAAAATTTTTTTCTGACAGCTGGGTGTAGTGACCCAGGTCTGCAAGCTACTTGAGAGCTCGAGGTGGGAAAATTGCTGGAGCATATGAGTTGGAGCACAGCCTTCTGTCTCAGAGGAAAAAAAAAGCTGGGCATGGTGGCCCACTCCCGTATCCCAAGCACTGGGGAGGCCGAGGTAGGACAATCACTGTGAGTTCCAGGGTAACCCGGGCTCCATAGTGAGTTCAAGACACAAAACCCTGTCTCAAAAAATAAACAAACAAAATGAAGAGAATCAAAACCATAGTTGGAGGCCACCCACTTGGGACCCTTTCTGTCTGCTTTCTCCCAATAAGTATTTCTGCAAAAAAAAAAAAACCATAGCTGGAGCTGAATGTGGTATTATATGCCTGTAATCCCAGCACTTGGGAGGCTTAAGGGAGGTAGGATTGCCACAAGTTGAAGGCCAGCCACAGCTACATAGTGAGCAGTCTCAAACACACACACACACACACACACACACACACACACACGCGATGGTGAGTAAAGTACACCTGAGGTAAGAGTTGTCTGTCTGAGGGAAGAGAATTTATGACAAATGAACAGCAAGCACAAAGGCCCTGAGGTGGATCAGGCACGCAGATGTTGGAGTAACTTCAAAGTGGGATAAGAGGAAGGGCAAAGGGAGGGTAGATTGTGAGGTGGGAGAACACATAGGAACAGTCCACACAGGGCTTTGCAGACTATTATGGGGCCTTTCTTTGGCTTATAAGATGCCACTTGAAGACGGGAAGCCACTCTCAACTTACAGCAGAGAAGTAACAAAAACTTGCTTGGGGCACAGGCTCAAAAACCACATCAGAGCCAGAAGCAGTGGTGCACACCTGTAATCCCAGCTGTAAGGGATGCTGAAGCAGGAAGCTAGAGCGTTAAAGACCAGCGTAGCCAACTCAGTGAGACTCTGCCTGGAAAGTAAATACAAAGGCTAGAGGTGTACTTCAGAGGTAGAGCACTCACCTGGCAAGTGTGAGACTGTGGGTTCAATCACCAGACACCCCCCCCATCAAGCTTTTAAATATTAACATGTCGCAGAATTAAATCTATGAGCAATTGTTTTATCTAAAAATGCAATTTAAATGCTGAAGATCGGTTAAGGTTTTTATAGCTTCAGCAAGAGGGTCTCACCAGTTGCCACACTGCGCTTAGCAGGTATTTCCTCTGTCAGGTGGAGATCAATAACCTGACTAGGTAGCTTTTATGTGAAATTAGGTAAAGGTTCCGCACAAGTGAAAACATTCCGTTTACTCAATAAAGTTCTTTTTTTAAGGACAGAAGTGAGATTGTCTTGTGTGGTTAGGTCTCCACTAGATGTGAATCTAATTTCAGATACGTCGTGGAAAGATGTGGAAAAGCACATTTGAACTGCAAGAAGCCCAACCGCTAATTTACAAGAGAGTCAGGCTAAAGAGTAGCAGACCCGAACCTATGGTTCCGACGTCAGGAAACAGTTGGGCTGCGTGCTCCTTAGGAGCAGACAGGTCCCTTCCGTTCTGAGCTCAGAAAGGTCGCATCTTGATATAATCAGAGAATGGAATCGGGCTGAGCAGCTCGGACTGCCGCCCCGGGATGCCCTCGCCTGGCAGCGCCCGCCCCGCGCGCCCCACCGGGGCCGCTCAACCCGAGTCTTCAGCCCGCGTCCGCCGCCCGACCCTCCCTCGGCGCCGGCGCCCGACGGCTCCGTCCTAGCCGCCGCCAGGAGGCTCCGCGCGCCTTCCCGCCTTTCTTGGGGCCCGGCCGGACCGAGCCGGGCGGCGGGGCGGGCGCGGGCGGCGACGGCGCGGCCATTGTCCCACAGCCCCTCCCAGGCGCGCAGGAGGGGCGCCGGCGGGCGCAGGGCGCGGCCGCGCGCGGGGAGGAACGGCCCGGAACCAGTGCCCGCCGGCGCCCCGAGGCTGGTGCCGCGGCGCCTTCACTGTGACGGTCCCCAGCCCTCGGACTTGGCGCCCCGCTGCCGCCGCGCAGCGCCCGGGGCTGCAAATGGCGCCCGCTCGCTCTGCGCCTCCCGCCGCGCCCGGGCCGGACGTCTGCGGGCTGCGCGCCCGAGCCGCATCTGCACTCCCACGCGGCCGCCGCCCGCCTCGCCTCGCCTCGCCTCGCCTCCAGCGGTCCCAGCCTGCCGCGCCGCCGCCCTCCGCCTCCGCCCGGGCTCGGGCCGGCCGGCAGCCCCGACGCCCCGCCCGCCCTCCGTCCACCCGCGCCCAGCGCAGCCACTTACCGCGGGCCCTGGCGCACCGGCCGGCCGCGCGAGGGCCGGGGACGATTCCTGGTGCTTTCCAGGAGCCAGACCCACTCCCGAAGCCGCTCCTTTGCGCCCTAAAACGGGTAGCCCCAACGTGAGAGAAACAAAAGGTATTTGCTGACGTGGGCGTTGGACAGAAACGCCCGAGGGCTGGGGAACACAATTAAAGGGGCAACGCACAGATTTCAGGCACCAACCAGCAGCGTCGCCCACTCCCCCTGCCCTCGCCCACACCCCGCTGCACCCTCCTGAGGCGCGAGGCGCCCGGATTCCCTTGCGGAGGGCTGCGGAGCATTATTTTAGTCAAGAGCTGAAATTTTAAAAGGTACTTTACTCGGGAAAGGCGCCTCCGGAGGGCAGAAGGGCTGGATTTCTAGGATGTGGGGAATTTGGTTTAGGAAAGAGGAGGGACTTAGGCGTGCCCACAATTACTGTTTAAGTACATGTGACGTTATTGTACTTAAGTTGAGCGATGTCAAATAGAAGATGCTTCCACAGAATTTTCCCCTTGATTGAAGCAGTTATTTTAGTCGGAGATAACCCTGAATAAGCCTCTGCGGGTCACAGGCGTTTCATTCGAAGAAGAAAATCCACATAGACTGAGATAAGAGGACGTAACTTTTAGTTAGTATGAAATTAGTAGAAGTAGATTTTGTGTTTCCAAATACAAAAATTCGCTGCACATCAAGCTTCTCATCTGAGATACTGTGTCTCTGATAGAATACAAAGATCAGATTATACGTTTTCTAAAATAGTAAATCAGAGTAAATAGAGTTCTCTTTATACACAGATTTCATAAACTAGTTTCCTGCACTTTATGCTGGAATCAGATACTGAAAAGTACAGTATTTTAATAAAACTGGGGGCACTTTCAAAACGTATTTTAATTTTTTAAATGATTCTTCTCCTGTGTCTCCCCCCCCAACTCAAACACCCTTGGTTAACGGAATCCTGTATCTTAATCAAAGTTAGACAACCTTTGACACTGGTTTTATCAATAATTAGCGCGGTATTTTGAGGATCATATTTTGTGAGGATAAAAACTAGGCACAAGTCTCTCTTGTTTTGTTTTGGGAGATCGAACTCAGGACCTCATGCTTGCTAGGCAGGCGCCTTTAACTGATGAGCTAAATCCCCAGCCCTGAGTCTCTCTTAAGATCTCTTCTTTACTATTCCAGAGGTGGTTTGGGCACATTGTGAATAGGTAAATAGAAAGTATTTGAAACCCATTAGGTGTTTGATTCCTAGTACCAGAAAAAAAAAAAATTAGACATCAGCTGTTATGCAAGCCCACACATTGAAGATAACCCTGGAAAGACCTGGACAGTCCAGGAGTGGTGGCATGTGTTTCTAATGGTAGTTCTCTGAGAGGCTGAGGCAGGAAGATGGCAAATTGAAGCCGAGCAGGGGCAATTTATCAAGACGCTGTTTTAAAACTAAAAAAAAAAAAAAAAGGGTAAAAGTCTGGGTTTAAAAATTTAGAGCTGGTCATGGTGATGCACTCCTGTAATCCCAGCACTAGGGAGGCTGAGGCAACAGAATGGTTGCAAATTCAAGACCAGCCTGTACTACAGAGTGAGCTCAAGCCCAACCTGAACTGCATAGTGAGACTCTGTCTCAAAAAAGACCAAAATATATACGTATATTATATATATATTTATATATTAATACATTAATATTTATATATTTTATATATATTTTTTGAAATGCAAAGGGGGGCCGGGGATTTAGCTCAGTGGCATAAGCTTCTGCCTGGCAAGCAGGAGGTTGTGTGTTGTCTTCCCCCACGCCCTGAACCAAAAAATAAAGTGCAAACGTCTTTGGTTCAATACCCAATTTTAAACAAACAAAAAGCTGCCAACATCATTATAGCAAAAGTTTTGTTTTTGAAGAAAGGGGCTTGCTGTGTTGTGTAGGTTGGCTTCCAGTTTCTGAGCTCAAGTGATCCTTGTGTCAGTCGCTCGAGAAGCTGGACTGGGAAAAAACATTTGATTTTAGGGTTAGTGGACTAACACATGCAAGAGAAATCTACAAATGTGTTCCTCACTAGAGCTCATCAAGTTGGTGATAAACTATTTGTTGCAACAAAGAAGCATGGTGAGTTTTCCCTGTCACTTTCGTCTTTCTGCCTTCAAAAATTTATGCTTCTCAAAGCTGGTTCTCCATAATAATTATTATTCTCTTAAACTTTGTCTTTTCAGTTCAAATTCTTTTTTTTTAATTTCAAATTCTTTTTGTTGTTGTTGTTTTTGTTTTTGTGTGTGTGTGTGTGTGTGTTTTGGTAGCAGGGAATGTGAGTTTTGGCCCAGACAGGACACTGTAGCCTGTAAAGCCTCAGGTGGAGCCGAGGAGCTCCATCTCCCCCACCCCTAGGAATTTACTTATGGCGCCAAAAGAATACCAATAGGCTACCTGTGCATCACTAATGCCCCTCAGGCTCCACCCCAAACCTAAACTACTTGTATGCCCCCACTCCAAGTGTTCCACGGAGAGATCAACGCCCGTGCCCCAGGGGATTGGGGGTGTCTCTCCCCACATTCTCAAAATAAAGGTCATTTATATTTCATACTTCTTATCTTTTCAGCCGCCGCGGTCCCCCACAGTTCTATCAGAATGAACTCACAACCTTGTGCTTGCCTGGCAGGCACTTATGCCACTGAACTAAATGTCTGGTCCTGTCTGTTTTTTTTTTTTTTTTTTTTGAGACATGGGACTCAGCGTATAGTTCAGGCTGTCCTTGACCTCACTGTGTAGCATAGACTGGCCTTCAACTCATGGTAACCCTCCTGCCTCAACCTCCCAAGTGCTGGGATTCTGGCTATGTGCCATCACAGCTGGCCTTAGTTCAAGTTCTTAAAGGAGAGAATCCATTCCATTTTTAAAAACTTACTCAGACCTACTGTGGATAGAATGTTTGCTGCAGGTGCTTGGTGTGTGGTGGTAAATAAAGTATTTACCTGGCCTCTGTGTTCACAAGACTGTAGTGGAGGTAAATGTGTAATTCAAAACTGGGATAAACCTGAAGGATAGGTACAGAGTACTATGCGAAGGGCAGAGTACTATTTAAAGGGCAAAATTGCCTTATGAGAGAGGAAGGCTATTTAGGGAAGCTTCTTTACAGCCTGTTTTTTGTTTTGTTTTGTTTTTTAAGTGATACAGCCATACAGTTCAGGCTGGACTTGAACATACTATGTAGTCCAGGTTGGCCTGGAACTCACGGCACATGTCCTGCCTCAGCCTCCTGAATATTGAAATGATAAACGTGCCACCACGCCTGATTTAATCAGCACACTTGATTGGAAATTTGGAGTGGGAATTAATAGGCAAAGGTGTGAAAGTTTGGGCGTATTCTAGCTAGCAGGAGCAAAAGGTACTAAGGTGCTTGGTTGGAAACAGCATAGCAGAAAAGGATGATAAGGCTATAATGCAAAGTGAGAGGGAACATCAGCAGGGATCAGACCATCATGGTTTTGTGGGCCATGTTGAGAAGCACTAATGTATTTTAAACTAGGTGGGATGTGAGTGACATGAGAGGCAAACACTTTGAGAAGATGGTATGGAGGATAAATTAGAGGGAAGGAAGGGTAGATTACAGTGGTCCAACTACAAGATGCTAGAATCTTAAAAATCTGGATATGGTGGCAAACATCTGTAATTCCAGCCCTCTGGAGACTAAATCAGGGGGATTGGGAGCTCCTGGCCAGGCTGTTGCCATACATAGTGAGACTTTTGAACCAGAGCAGAAGCAGCAGAAATGGGCGAAAGTGAGGAGATTAAGAAAAGTGGAAAGAGAAATATTAGAGACAACAACATAACTAAGGAGAATGATGGAGATGGGAGAGGCAAAGATGATTACGTTGACATGTGGAACTGGATGGATCATGGTTCTTTTCATTGAGGAAAAAAAAGATTGGAAGAGCATCCGCTATTTTTTCTTTACTTCTTTTGTCTTTATTTCCTGTCAGCCCCATGGCATGGAGTAGGAGGGCAGCAAAGATTATAAATCCAACTTGAACGTGTTAAAAATGAGATACTCTTGGGATGCAGACTGGGTGTCTTCACTGTTTTTGTTTGCATGTCATCTGAAAGTCATTTGTGTTGGAAGGTTCCTTACCTTATGAATAATTTGAGTGAAATAGACTTTTTCTGCAAGGGATGATAAAAATGCTAATGACTTATTTTCCCAGAATCCCTTGCAGCTAGGATAGTGGCTAAGGTCTACACTCTGACAATCAGATAAGTTAAGTTTGGGTTTTTTTTTTTTTTTCTTTTTCAATTGAGACAGGGTCTCCCTATAAAGTTCAGGCTGACCTCAAACTAACAGCAGTCCTCCTGCCTCAGCCTTCCAGGTGCTGGGATTACAGCCGTGTGTCACCACACCTGGCAACATGAACTGACTTTAAAGAGGAAGCTATGATATCAAGAGCCAGGAACTTCAGAGAATCTTTTCTGGTGGCAGTGGCAGTTGCATCAACATAATATCTCCAGGTGCCACAGTGCCAGTGCTTCTCAGGACAGCATCCCCTGTCTAGCTCTGGTGCTTCTCACTAGTTCCCATGTCACTTTGGTGAGAACAGTGTTGGCATCCTCACCAGCCATGGTTTGGCTTTCGTCGTTGTTTCAGACTGCTTAGAATAGCTTCAACCCTGGGCTCTACCTTTCCTGTGATTTTGTGAATTTTTAATATATTCATTTCTGCTCAAATCAGCCAAGGGCAGTCTGAGCAACTAAGAATCCTCCCAAGTATAAATGGTAAGAAAGTGGCTGGATATACAGTTTGAGGCTTAACAGAATTGTTTGAGATAAATATTTGTCATCAATGTTATGTCAACTGGAATTGAAGCCAAAGACGTGGCTAGAGAGAGGTTGTAACATGAGATGAGAAGGCTTGAGGCCAAGCTTTGAGCAACTCCATCCTTTAGTGCCTGATGAGAGGAAGGTGAAGTTGCAAGAGACTAAAGTGTGACTAGAGAGAAAGGAAGAGACCTGGGATAATGTACTGTAAAAGCTGGGCCAGGGAGTAACTCAAGAAGGAAGAACTGTAATGTTAAATACTGCTCGAATGACAAGTCTAAGGGATGTCTACTTGATCTAACAACTTTAACATCATTGACT